TAGGGCATTGTAAATTCTTTGCCTTGCTATGCGAGTGCAGCGCTGCCAGTAAATAACGCGAAATTGCAAGAATCATAATCACCTGCGATGATCAAGTGACAGAGAGACCACCCATGTTGCCTGTAGCATGTCGCGAATCTAGAAAACGCTTCACAAACAGGGCATAATTTAATGCGCGCTGATCGAAAGTGTGATTTCGCGCGCGGCTATGTCTCACTAACCCGAACAAAACATGCACAAACTACAATCTGCGCGCCAAGCTCAGCTAGTGTAGCTAGAGTGCAACGACGACAGCAGACCCGAGAGTCTGTGTAGCGGTGTATGGCTAACGGGGCGACCTTGACGCGGGGTTACCAGCTCTCGGGCAAACACTCCAGCAACAACGGTTCATCGTTTGGGAATTCGCATATCTGTTACATTGAAATTGAACTGAACTTGACCTTGGCGCCTTTACTCGAAAAGACGACAGGAGATACCTTTCAGAGATAGCCAAACGAATGTGAGATACGGGCAAGCAGCGCCTACGCGCGTACAAATGCATGTCGGTGAAAGTGCAGCATTGCGGGAAAGCACAGCAAGGGCATTATGCTCAGGTCCGTACAAAAAGAGCAGGCTGGTGCAAGAACCTAGGGGGCTATGTAAGGAACTAGCTCCTACTTATCTTCAGCTGCAGTTTTTGCAGAATGCAACACACTCTCCCCGCACTTCCGCTGCGTGCTTGCGGAGTGCCTTAATAGTTTTATTCGCGTAAGACAACACGGCGTTGACCAACACCTTTAGCGCGTGGCACGCGAGAAAACTGCGTAAAACTGTCCGGGCACGAGCCACACGTCCGAACTAATCATCGTACTAAATATCATCACTTACATCACCACTTATAGGTGGTCCAATTAGAGATGACACGCGTCACACGTTTCTGTGACACGTTTAAAACAAACTCAAGAGATATTCTCTTGTTACAATAGTTGCACAAACTCTCGTGCACCCCCCATAATCAATACGTTCTTTTTGGGTAAGGTGGAACGTCGGCGTTTTCTTCGGAAATCGTCATCGCTTCGCTTGCGGTTTTTCTGATAACCTACTGGTGGAACACAATTTCGTTTAGACAAGCGCACAAATGAACTTCGATATTTGTGAACTAAATTTTTAGGTGAAAAATTGTCAATATGGTGATTGATAGGTTACAATCGTTATTTGGACATTTGTCAAGGTATAGTCATAAAAAATGGATTGATATGGGAATTGGAAGATTGATGTCAAGCACTATGAGAGCAAAGAAACTCTGAAAAGGTTGCAGCTTATCGTCTATTGCTGCGTTGAAGCTCAGGTGTCATGGCACATTATGGGAAATGGAATTTGAAGGTTATGGGTTGGAAATACAGAAGGATTATGGAGTAAATTCACATTGCATATACTAATGCATAGTACGAAGTATTTCTAGGGTTTTGAGTCTATACTCCTCGCAAAAATCTAAAAGGCCAACTTCTAACGTGCGGCCGATACTGAAAACAGAATATAGCCAAAAGAACAAGACAGGCACGAAGATTTATGAACCGACTACAGTAAGATACAGTACCTACGTCAGTCGCTAACTAACTACGGCGCGGAAAAGTTTTCTACATCTTGAACGGAAGTCACGTTTTGTGAATCGCTGAATTACTCATAGCTGATCTGACCTAAAATTGACCTGTGTAGTTACTGTGTTTGTAGAAAATGCGTTGTACCTTAATTAACATTAGCCCGCTTACAAACCGGGAACCCGTCGGCGTCAAGCGTCGACCTTGGCCTGTTCTCTCGTAGAATCGTGCACTCTATCGTCGCATTTCGTTACTGTCTTGCACTATTTCGTCGCCGTCTAGCCACGGAATCACCGCCCTACTCGACTATAAAAGGCAACTCGCCTCAGGGAGATACCAGGTGGGCATAGCATCTCACACAACAACGGTAAGACATCTTACCATTTTTGCAGTATTCGCATTTTCGAACTCTCGCTCTGCTCACTTCGAAGGCTTTTACTATTCAGCTGGCTGTGATGTGTATAGATTCACTACCATTAGTCCTATATACGATTATATTACTAGACACATTGATGACGATTTAATCCTACTTAGATGTTTCTAATTTGAAAATTTCCCATTTATTACTAAAGCCATTATGAGCCTATTTTGCCTAGCCTATTTTGCTTGATAATCGTTTTCGAGCTCCTACAAAAATCTACGTCTCATCTTTTCCAGATGAGCAACGAAAAGGAGCTCGAGATTGAGGCTAACTCTCTTCGCAGAGTAGCATTCTTTGGTGTTGCCATCTCCACGATGGCTACCCTCGTTTGCGTCATCTCAGTCCCTATGCTCTACAACTACATGCAACATATGCAGTCGGTTATGCAGAGTGAGGTAGACTTCTGTAAATCTCGTTCCGGAAATATCTGGCGGGAAGTTACCCGGACACAGGTTTGTCTCTTCATGGATTGAATTTGGATTTCTCAAATTGTCGAATGTCTCTTAGGTACTCGCCAAGGTCTCTAATGGAGCTCTAAGAAGTCGCCGTCAAGCTGGATACAGCTCTGCCGGAGTTGAGGGTAGCTTTGAGTCGGCCCCTG